TTTGGTTGCACAGTCCTAGGGAAGAAACTGGTCTTCTGTCTCCTTACTGAATTCCTCTGAATTCAAACTGCATTAAACCAATACTGCTGAATCTGGAGGAGTTTAAAAATGTCTTAGGATGGTTGGAAGTAACCGGTCATGAAACATTATTTCACTAAATTTTAGTGTTCAAAAAAATAAAAACTTCAGTAGTATTTAATTTTTTTTTTTTTAACATCAGTCTGCACCGAGCACCGTGACACAAATTCTTCAATAGGTGTTTCCTTGGTATTTTGTTCTGTGGAGAATGTTCCCATAAATACATGAACACCAGCAGAGTAAGATGGAAGCAACAAAAGTATGGCAGGAATAGACATTTCCCTGACTTGTATGTGAAATGATCGACTACTGCCACTATATTAAAGGACCTAAAATGAGGTTGCTGAAATGTGAGGCTGCTGCTTTGGACTAAGCCCTCTGCTTCCCCAAACATCTGTAGTGGAAAGCTTCTTTTACACTTTTTAGCTCGAGTTTTGCAACTAAGGCTAGAATAGCTCTCTTGACTACTCTTTGCAGTGAATCACCTAATTTAAAAGGAAACATCATGGATTGTGGAGCTTCATTTTGGTATGGATACAGTAGGTATTTTAATACCCTTAGGATGATGAGACAACTACCCAGCACTAAAACTTGAGACTACCCTAACCTTAAATTTTTGGCATTTCTTTTGCGGAGTGTAAGCTTTTTAGGCTTTAGGATACCTACTAACATAGTAGGATTTTTCTTTTAAAAAAAAAAAGTTCTAAATGAATTATGCATGATATTTGTTATTGGCTGTTCCTTTCTTCAGCACAACCTTCTGACAACTTCTCTATTACAAAGAGAATATTCCTCTACAAGCAGGCAGCTAACCTCAGTGACACTGTTCCAGGAATCAAATATTAAACCAAAGAAAGAACTATCTACACCTGCCTTTAAATGTTAATTTTTTGAAACCTGGATTAAAAGTACCTTACCGCAAGAAATCAGTCTTGGTTTCTCTATGCTATGAAGCTTACTGATAACATAGTTCAGATGGGGTTCTATTTGTTTCCCTGTGTTTTTCTGAAGTTGCAAGCACGTTTCACCTGCTATTTCAGAACATCTAATAAAAGAGATTTGGTTATGCTTTTTGGTAAAAATTGTCAGAGAAAAAGACCAGAGTGTTGCCTGAAAGTGAGTGGGAGAGGAGGACCACCAGCACCAAAAAACAAATCCCCAGACTAAATAGAGGAGGAAAGCATGTTACCCTTATACCCTTCTCCCCAGCCTGAAATGCAGCTACAAGTTACTCACCTAATTCTAGCTTTATTCTGATGAAATCAATGCTGTTTTGACAGGACTACATTTGACTTTTAGCATAATGTGATTTAGCAGGGCAATCATTCTTTAGATCAAAATGGCTGTAACACTTCTGGTACTACTAAGAAACTAATAACTGCCGCTTTCTTTCTCCCTCCTTATTAGCCACGGATGAGACTCCATTGGTTTTCTACATGGTAGAATTCTCCCTTGGGTTTTTGAAAGGCATGGCCAGCACATACATGTGCCCCTGCACAGTGTGCTGCGCAGCAGGCACTGAAAGCATGTCAGGGCAAGGACATTAACTCTTGGCTCAGCACCCACTGTCGCTGCACAGCTGATGGGTTCCAAAGCATTGCAAGAGCAGCACCCTTCGGCAACTGTGGTTTAATCCGTTATGTGTCCACAGCCGAGATACAGCTCACAGCTCTGATTATCTCTTCTCTGAACAGGTATAGGAGAGCTAGATATGACCATAAAGGAAAGTGAACAAGAATTATAAGGCACATGGAACAATTTCTGTATGAGAACAGACTACACTGACAAGGACTGAGATTGACTGCAGAAAGTTACAGTTCAATAGTGGTTCTTAGTTTCCCCCCATCATATACCTCCTTGTACAGTGGCTTTCAACTTAGAATGATATTCCTGAAGAATTTACTTTAGGAGGTGTTAAAGCATGCGGAGGATGGTGATCTGGCTGATACAGTCTACTTGCAATTCCAAGAGCTTTTGACAAAGTTTCGTATTAAAATTTTTTTAAAGGACACTAAGCAGGTAGGGGATAAGAAAAAAGGTCATGGCATGGAGATGTGTTTAAAAGACAGGATAAAGAGGGCAACAGTAAGTGGTCAGCCCTCAGAACAGAGAGAGGTTACAAGTGCAGGGATCCGAGCTGTTGAGAATAATCTGGAAAAGGATATGAGCAGTGAGGTTGAAAGTTTGCTCATGATACAGATTACTCGGAGGAGAGGGGACAAGGAAAGCAGATTGTGGAGAGTTCTGGAAAAATGGTTGACTAGGCGATGGGACAGGAAGTGAAACTCAAGTTAGGTAAATGGGTGCACATGAGGAAAAAAAATCACCGTAAATGCATTAATAAAATAATGCTAAATTGATGTATAAAATAATGGCCCCTGAGCTGACCCTTACCACTGACGGCCAAGATTTAAGGTTACAACAGATGAAAACATTAGCTAAAGCAAATTGTGTGTCAGAGATCATTAGGAAAGGAGCAGAGAAAGTCCTATGAATCCAACAGTCATGGAGTTGACTCTGCGTGCATTTCTGGTCCCCTCTTCTCAGTAACAGAATAGTGAGACTGGGGGAGTTCAGAGAAGAGCAATGAGGATGACCAAAGGCCAATGCCTTCCCTTGGAAGAACAACTGAGCAGGATAGGACTCCGTGGCCTGGGAAGGAGATTATTTAGGAGGGGAGGTAATGCACACCTACAAAACTTTAAGTGCTGTGTGAAAGAACAGATGGGACCGATCATTTCCTGTTGGCTGGGAGGAATCAAACGAAGCTACTGGGAACCAGGTGCTTCACCCTCCCCAGGATCCCTCCCCACTCCAGTGCTAGGTGCAAGGAAAAAGCTGACCTGCT